AATGTTGCTCTCCAAAGATGTGTTCATATGAAGAAGTTTAGTTGCTACTTAACATTAAAAAGCTCTTCTATCAGCTAATACGTTAAAAAACAGTTTTTCTATGTACATCAAAACCTTTTAATAGATTTTTTTTAAAGTCATTGAAGGCAACGAGAAGCAAACAGATAAGTCAGCTTTACAAGTATGCAAAACCTTGGTATAACTCACATTTCTATTTTAATGCTAGTCCTGCCTTTGTAACAAAGAATCATTGTACAAATCTTGCAACAAACGACCAATAAAAAGCAACTTGGAAACAAACAAAACAGACGAAGGCATCCAAGAGTATACTCCCAAAGGAGGCATGCACTTCACACCTCTCTTTAATGATCCCTGGCCACTGATTTTCTTTGAGCCTGCTGGGAACACCACAAACCAGGGCCAGGCAAGAGCTAGGATTTTAAGAGTTACAGCTGCAGCTTTTTCCGTTGCCAGCATCTTGTTTATGTAACCCTTCTGTCAGAGTTGGCAGCAGCCAGATGCCAGGTTCGGTTTCCAGGGCCCCCAGCCAGTGACCTGGGACAATTGCACACCATCCCCAGCTCACCTCTAAGAGGCCATAGTTCCCCTCTCACAAGCACAGTGTTTCAGTGTAGAAAAAAACCTCCTTAATACAAGAGGGGAAAATGCTGCAGCTAAGGCTCATAAACATAAACCACGAGCCCAAAGGTCCATTTAATGTGCCCATCTCTTCTTTGCACCCTCCTCACAGTTGCTCTCCTTGGTCAGTGCAGCCCTGAAGTTCATCTACAGAGTTCATCTCCCAGCCTGGGGTAAGGAGGCACCTTACACACACTGTTACTTGGGTACGCACCAGCTGCCTGGCTGGCCACACTGCTCCTCAGCAGATTACTTTCCCCCTCCCCTCCTCCACCAATCCCAAAGTAGGTCCCAGCGATTTCAGCACTGCCACATGTAACAAGACACTCAGTTAAGTCTGACTTAGCTCTGCTCTATCCTGGAGAGAGGAAGGGTCAAACAGATTGGGGCCTTACAGACTTGTCCCCAAGCTCTCTCCACTCAGTTGACTTTGGAAGCTGTATCTACAGCTATTCAGTGGAGGGTGAGCCATAAGTGATCTTTTTCAGCTCTGCAGCATGTATACTGACTTCCATACAAAGGGAAATAAGGACAACTGAGGAAACTACAGACCAGGGAGCTTAACTCCTGTGCTAGGAAAGATTATTTGGTCCATTGTTTAGGAATCAGTTTGCAAACATCTGGAAGATAAGGTGATAAGTAACAGTCAGCATAGACTTGTAAGGAACTAATCATGTCAAACCAATCTGATAGCTTCCTTTAATAGGAAAACAAGCCTTGTGGATAAGGAGGAAGTGAGAGATGTGGTCTACCTAGAATTTAGTAAAGCGTTTGATAGTCTTGCATGATCTTCTCATTTAATAAACTAGGGAAATACATTCTAGATGGGTCTACCCTAACGTGCGTGTATAACTAACTGTTGGATAACCATTCCCAGAGAGAGTAGTTAGCAATGGCTCACAGTCATGATGGACGGGCACAATAAGTGGGGTTCTACTGGGATCAATTTTGGGACTGGTTTTCTTCAGTAGCTTCATCAATAACTTAGATAATAGCATAGAGAACATGCTTACAAAGTCTGAAGATGGTACCAAGCCGGGAGAGATTGCAAGTGCTTTGTAGGATAGGATAATTGAGAATGATCTGGACAAACTAGAGAAATGGTCTGAGGTAAGTAGGATGAAATTCAACAAGGACAAATGCAAAGCGCTCCACTTAGGAAAGAAGTCAGAATCACACATTCAAAATGGGAAATGACTGTCTGGGAAGGAGTATTGCAGGAAGGGGTCACAAGGGTAATGAGTCAATAGTGTGACACTGTTGCAAAAAAAGCAAACATCATTCTGGAATGTAATAACAGGAGTGTTGTAAGCAAGATTCGAGAAGGAATTCTTCCACTCTACTGTGTGCTCATTAATCATCATCATCATTTGTCCTTTGGGCTCCTAATGGAGCATTGGGCCTCCACAGTCATTCTCCATCTCTCGTGATCCTTAGCAATAGTCTTGATTTGATCCCATGTTAAGCCAGCTGCTTTTACTTTGTACAGGAAGCTTCATCGCCATGTTTGTTTGGGGCGTCTCCTTTTTCCCTTTAGATTGCATTCTAACGTTTGTCTCATGATGCATTCCTCCCAGTCCTCATGCAGGATGTGGCCTGCCCATAGCCATTTTCTCCTCTTAATCTGGGCGTCCATTGGTTTCTGACTTGTTTTGGTCCACAAGGTTTGGTTTGGCACTCTATCATACCACTTTAGTTGGCGAATGTGTCTAAGGTATTTATTGACAAATGTCTGAATTCTCTTAGTGTTGCTCTGGACAACGTGCCATGCCTCTGAGCCATACAGCAGCACTGATTTCGCATTAGAAGTGAAAATGCATAGTTTGGTTCTTATTGAAATGGCTCTTGTACCACAGACTGGTCATAGTATGACAAAGGCTTGTTGCGCCGTTCGTATTCTTGCACTGATGTCCTCTTCATTTCCCCCATTCTTGCTCATTAACACAGCCCTGCAAATCCTTGGATATATGCTTTATGTCTATGGGTATCAGCAGATATCAATTTTGTATCTAGGACCCTGCAAACTTGTGGATAGCCGCGTTATATCTGCATCCCTGCTTCCTGCCACCACCTGGGTGCAGATATCCATGGCTCATTTTTGTGCATTTGGATGCAGAAACAGATGCACATTTTGTATCCACGCAGGGCTCTACTGGAGAACTGCATTCAGTTCTGGGCACCACATTTCAGAAAAGATGCGAACAAACTAGAGAAGGCCCAGAGAAGACCAATAAATGCCTAGAAAACGTTACTTACGAGGGAAGATTGAAAGATTAAGGATTGTATAATCTGGAATAGGCATTTAAAAGTGTAACCATTTAAATGGTTAAACCATAAAAACGGTTTAAAAAATAAGCATCAGCTTATCGGACATTGCAGTTGCGTGCTGGTTTCCTGGCTTCACTGTGGACTCTGCAATATAACTGTTTTTATACTGCAGAACCAGCAGCAAAGCCAGCTTCCCGGGAGGACAGTATAAAGTTTATACATATAAGCTTTATACTGCAGAGCCTGCAGCATGTTTAGCCACTAGGAGTTTTAGTGGTTACATTTTTAACGAGTTTTTACCTTCCAAGTCTGGAAAAGAAGACTGAGGGGGGACGTGATAGCAGTTTTCAAGTACCTAAAAAGTTATTAAAGAAGAAGGGAGGAAAAAGTATTAACTTCTGATGATAGGACAAGAAACAATGGGCTGAAATTGCTTCAAGGGAGGTTTAGGTTGGACATTAAGAAAAACTTCCCAAGTGCCAGGGCAGTTAAACACTGGAATAAGTTGCCTACGGGGGTTGTGGAATCTCCACCACTGGAGACATTTAAGAGCAGGTTGGACAGACACTTGTCAGGGATGATCTAGAGGGTAGTTGGTCCTGCCAGCAGGGCACGGTACTTGATGACCTCTAAAGGTCTCTTCCAGTTCTAGGATTCTAGGATTTGGGTTAGCAGTTCTATCATGCCAAGCACCTTGGCAAAGTGGGTGTGCAAGTGAGATCAGCATCCGAAGTCCTCAGTTCATCACTAGACATCAGCGGAGAGCTCATGCAGACTGCTTACATTTAGGGTAGAGGTCTCCAACGTTTTTAAGCACAAAATCGCTTTTCGAATTTAAGTCTTTACATTTAGGGTAGAGGTCTCCAACGTTTTTAAGCACAAAATCGCTTTTCAAATTTAAGTCTGTCCAGGATCTCCCTCAAACCCAAATACCCTTGCCCTGCCCCTTCTCCGAGCCCCTGTTCCACCCCTTCGCCGAGGCCTTACCCTCCTCTCTCTGTGAAGATGGGGTACAAGGGAGGGGGACAGAGCGACATCAGTGCCTCCCTGCCTCTGTCTCCCCCACTCTGCACAATAAGTAGGAGGCTCCCAGGAGGCAGCTCTGAGGCAAGAGCCGCAAGGCAGCACAATAAGTAGGCAGCTGAAGTGCAGGCACTTGACAGCCTCCCAGCCAAACCATCAGGATCACCTCTCAGAGGCTCCAAGATCTACGGTTAGGTCCCAATCTACTGGTTGGTGACCACTGATTTTAGGGTGTGGATGTGTGGCAAGCAAGTGTCTTTTTTAATGCTAATCAAGACTGTCCCAACCAAAACTCAAAGGACACGGGCAGGTAGGCACCATGACATTCAAAGCACCAAATTTTCCCAAATTCTGTGGTCCCTAGGCAGCTGTGTGCTGCTTGTGGAGCAGCCTCATTCTCTGTCCTCCCCTCCTGCTCATGGGCTGCACCCATCAGGGTAATCCCTCATGGGGTGCAGGACCCGGGACACCCCTTTGCTGTGCCTCTATTCACCCCTTCTGCAATTGAATGTGGACTTGGGGGGAGGAGCTACTCCCCCCATTGCCCTGCCCCCTCTCCATGGTGGGGGAGGCTATGTCGAGTATCAACATTTCTAGGTATGGTCCTGCTCACCATTCTTACAGTCCTGTCTGTATTTGTTACATCAGCAGCACAAGAGAGCAGTGGTGTGCATGGTGCTGCCCTGCCAGATGCAAGGAAGAGTGGAAAGTCTTATATACCCTTGTGAGATTAAAGCGCATTCATCCATTGCCTGAGCAGAGTGATGCAATTTCTTCTCCCTGCTCTGTTTCTTTCTCAGTGTGATTTCTAGAGATAAGGGGGTTCAATGTCAGTGGCTTTTACAGTTATTCTCTCCCCCTCTGCCAAAGGGAAATCATTGGGGGTTTCGTTTTTTCCTTTTCAACCTTTACTCTGAACCCAGTGGTAGTCAGGATGGGACTCTGGCAGTTATTCGGGCAGATATTGCATAGCACAGTCTGAGACCTTACTGCTGAATCTTTACTTTTATTTCAGGAGCTTCCTGTAATGGGAGGTGTATGTATGACATAAAATGTATTGTGCATCTACTGCTACCTTTTGATGTTAATGAGCTGTTCTCTTTCACAGGCTGGCAGTGATGGTGAAAGCATAGGAAACTGTCCCTTTTCACAGAGACTCTTCATGATTTTGTGGCTCAAGGGAGTAGTGTTTAGTGTCACAACGGTTGACCTGAAGAGGTAAGAAACGCTGTTCCTCTGCTAAGTGTACGGTAGCTTCATTTCTCAGTTTGATGTATAGGTCCAGGTGTTCCAAATTTTACTTAGTTCCTCTGATTTCAAATACGACTGACTTCTTGCAGCAATCGCTGGGTCTGTTCCAAGGCAGTCTGATCTCTAAATCACTTACTGTAGAGTACTTATTTGGCGTTGCATCTCACTGCATGATGGATGCAAGGTCTTGCCTGGGTTGAATTCTCACATCTATTTGCATTATTGAAAGCCAGCTTTAATGTCTAAAGATGGCGTCTGTAAAGTTAATTCGTGGGACGACATGTTAATGGATGGTGCCTTAACCAATAACTGAAGAAGTAAAACAGGACACAAGCAAGAACTATAAATAATTAGTTCATAAATCCGGGTGAGAAGCTGATTCAGCCTTCTTCCATTATGAACAAATTCCTATGTTTGTTTACCTTTTTGAGATGTTGAGATTGGTCTCAAGGCCTCGGTTCTGTGTGTGTGTGTGCGCGTGCACATATATTTTTAATGTGCTGCACTTGATTGATCATCAATCTGGTAAACTTCTTTGCCATGCACAAAGGTTTAGATGATCAATGCTTCATTAACAGACCAACCATATTCCTGTGAGAGATGCTGTACTAACTCTATCTGCCTGACTAAATTGTGTCACACAACAAACAAAATGTAGTCCGGGGCAAATTTTCAATGTTTAGTTTTTTACAGCTTCATCCCCAGTTGAGTTAATATTTTTAATGCCTTCAATCTCAAGGACATGTCCTTTTAATCTGAATGGCGCAACACATTTCCGGTTAGAGCGAAACAAACACAGGACAGTAACCTAAATCAAATATTGTATCAGTGAGCTAGTAGAGAAATAGACACTTGCCAAAGGCCACCTGTAGTGTTTGTCATAAATAGGATACAAAATCAAGGATATTATGTCATCTAGATCACTGTATATATTCCTGGCTTACTAACATGGGATGAGTGGAGTATATTCTAGTAGGAATTATACCTGAGAATTTCTGTTGGGTGACAGTGAACGTTGGTAGATTTCCTGTGCCATACTACATAGAAAATCACTCAATATAATTAAACGTATTTTGTCATCAGGTACACACTACTAATATTTTCTAGACCAGATAAATGTTTCCTATCCAGTTTCTTCACAGAATGCACTAGTAGGTTAGTCTTACAATTAGCCGTTGAAAGTAAGTATTCTATTACAGGTGACATATGGTCTTGTACAAATATGAATTGCTTCATAATTCACTGCAAAGGTATTTTGACAAATGAAGAATCATTGGATGCATCATAAAGATCATCTGACCTACAGACAAACTACCTCTGGGTTTTGGGTAATTGGAGATTGTGGGACACAGCTTTTAGAATCCTCCTTTTCAGATGTTTGAGAGAAGTCCTGCTGTCCTCATGTAATAAAAACAATGATGACATTTTCACAAAGAGATGTTGGTAGAAGAAACACTAGAGAATGAGCAGAAATGCAATGTAATATAATCTGCTCTTTTTATAGTATTTAATCAATATCAGGTCTATATCAGCCTATGTCCATTTAAAACTGAAGAAACCCTGCAGGAAGGAAATGATTAGCTCAGATTACATGCTGAACCAAGTGATGGCAGAGCCAGAAACAAAACCAGATATCCTATTTCCCAGGCCTTGACTCTGGCTACTGGGTTTCCTAATGGTAAATTCAATACAGTTTTGTTTTAGTATGTGGTACAAAGGAAGCTTCATCATAAAACTACTTGAGGTTGAAAACAATCATTTATCAATTTGGTTAACTTAGAAGTGGCAGAAGATGGGCAAGTCTATGGCAGTGTAGACTTTGATATCACAGACTTAATTTTTCCTGTTTGAGAGTGAAGAACATAATGCGTTGTGTTCTCCAAAGAAGTATGTGGATAAAAAAAGTTTGTCAAAAGGTCAGCATGAGACATCCTGAACAACCGAGTGAGTAGTTTGTAGCTTTTGATATTGCTAGCAATGGAATTAGAAACCTTTTAGCACCGCTGAGTGAGGTGAACTCCAGACTGGTAATCCAGTGCGGGTATTTACTATTTCTCCATATAGCTATATGAGAGAGGGCACATTTAAAAGAAGTCTATTTGATATGACGGCATTTGTAGCAATGTTATAAAGTTCCTTTGGTTGGATAGGATTTCCTTGCAGATATAGGTGTTGCTTCTAATACACACAAACTAAATGCACTGAACTTGCCATTTAATTTTGGTGGGGCTTGTAGAATCTCCAAGAAACCTGAGGCTTCTACTGGGTTTCAGCTCTGGGCTCCCTTGCATTTGATTGTCTACTCTCAAATCTCAGAGCAACGTTTGGAACAAAAATCAGAGGAGGCTCATGTTAATAGAACCATTATGGTGAAGTGTGTGTGTATCTGGGTCACTTCAAGTCATGTCACACAGTTATCAGTGCACAAGATTTCTATTCAGATCACTGTTTTTGTACCCTTCATATCTGGGCACTAATGAAAAAAATTTCAGGTTTAAATTGAGTGCAGGAGAGTTAAATTATCCTGTCTTCTTCTTAAGTCCTCCTAGTTCTGTAGGTTTTGACTTGAGGGTGGGAGGAAGCAATGTAAATTCAAAACTGAGAAATAGGATTAAAGCAGTTGGAATTTTGTTTTGCACCTGACCTTACAGTGATAGCTGTGTGCTCTGTGATAGAGGGACACATCTGTGGTCACGAAGTAATTACAATCTTGAATCGAGGTAGTATAGCAAATTAACCCTTTGTTTTAAAGTTCAAAATAAGGCTACTGAAATACTTGTTAATCAACACTCCTGGATTACCAACTGCCTCGCAGTAGCTCCACACAAGAGGAATTGAATGTTCTGATTAAATTGGAGCCTTCTTTATTTTGGTTTTCTGCTGTGTGTCAAGATAAGAATGGGTGCTGGGATTTGTCTCCATGTTCATAATAGGGTCATTACAAATGGCTTGTAGGGATGCAGTTTCAAGGACTATCATAGGCTCTTTTATATTGCGTTTTTTCCAAGTCTAACTACTGTACATCTTTTTTAAGCTTCAATTTTCCAAATTTTGCTACTCCTGTGCTATTTCATTATGGACAATCACAAGCTTGTTTTGACTGTTAGATACTAAGAATATTTCACTTGTTAACTGATCTCACTAACCTAGAAATTGTGGGTATACTCGCAAACCATCCTTTTGTTTGGTAGTATAATACAATTTGTAAACAATAGCAGGCCTAGTTTGCAGTAACTAATTGTTTAGACTGTAAGGCCTGTGTTTGGTCATAAATGAAACCACTGGAGAACACCCACTGGAGCTCTAATTCAATTCTGTAGTTGTCTTAGCAGGTCATGGTTTGATACAAAAGTTCACAAACAAGTAACTTTGGGACACAGAACCACAACTGAGGCCTATTTGATTTACTTTGTATGATGTGTATTTTCCTTTCCTAAACTGTGTTAAATATAGTACTGTGCAAACAAAAGAATATCTTGCAGTTCTCAGTTCAGATATTAGTTACTTGGGGCACAAGACAAAATATGCACACAGACTGAATTAAATGAGACATACCAGCATTTGAGTGAGGTCATACATGTCTTGCTTCTATGCAGTCAAAGACAGAGGCTCTATTCTTTTCCTTTTCAGTGACACAATTTCTTATGCGCAGGAATTTAACTTCTTCTGATGACTGGAGAAGGGTGCAGTGTATGAACTGTTAAGTTTGTAATAAAATTCAAGGCAAGCTTGGGTTCAATTGCATTTAGAAAGCCTGCTAGCATGAGTTTACACCTTTTAGTGTCTATTTTCAAAATACTCTCTGAATTTATAAAATTGACACACTGCCCATACTTACCCCCCACTCCTAAATATTTAAAGACTGCCCATACATAAAATCACTTCTCCAGTAGCTTGGGGAGGAGAGGGAAGGTTTCCTTTTTACCAATGTATTTATACCAGTATTTCTTGGCTCTTTGTTTCTGTACTGAGCATGTGTTGGATGAACACCACTCAATCATGCTGCCTGGGGATGCAAAAGAGTAGTTGATTAGTCAACTACCTGATAAGCCTACTCACGTTTCCCCCACCCTTACTGCCTCTATATCAGAGGCAGCAGGGTGGGGGGAAGCAGGAGCCGGTGCTGGAGGGAGCTGGCTTAAAAGCCAGTTCCCCCCAGCACCGTCTCTGCGGTGCAGGGGGAGCAGGGAAGGCAGAGGTGTAGGGCGCTGTGGTTCTGCCTTTTAAATTTAGTAAGAGCCTGGTGGCTCTTAGTGCATTTAAAAAACAGAGCTACAGTGGTCTGGACCTGACACAAGCCAAGCTTGCTCCAGTCCCGGCTCACATAGGGTCCTGGACTTACCCCTGCTATTGTATTGAGTACACAATTAATCATTTAACCGCTAGTCAGCATCCTTAATGCTGACCCCCTGCACTGGCATTTAACAGCTTTTGCTGTACTGTTTGATTTTAACAGCTTGAGTCCACATAGCGCTGGTCTTGATCAATTCTCTGCAATTATTGTGAAGCAAGAGAGCTGAAGTTAAATTGTCTGCGCATTGACACATGATTAGGAACAGCTTTTATGCTTTAATTTCACACCCTATCATTTTAACCTTTGAGTGCAGACAAGTTATTTTCCTAAAATGTGGTAAATAGCCAGACTAGATTCCAGTTGTCGTCAGTTACTTAAATGGACAAATTACCGCAAATAAGGGCTTGGCCACACTGTGCTTTAATCTGCACCAGCTGGGATGTAAATTCTACTGTATACTGACTGGCCCACGTGGATTCTGCTAGTCCATGCTAATGGTTTGCTAATGTACATCTGTGTAGTCCTATTTCAGACACATGGGCCAGTTAGTCTGCAGCACACTGGTGTGCTCGTTAGAAGCCTCCTCTCTGTGCACAGAAGCCTTAACGTGTAAACTTCATATGGCCCATATCTGCAAATCGGAGTAAAAGTCAATATGGAGACTTTTTAGAAG